CTAGGGTTTACGAATTGATTTCGCCATATTATGTTTGTATTTATTGCTTTCCCTGCAGTAAGCAATGATATACTGATTGTTGGGGTTTTAAACACTAAATCTTGATTTCACGATTATAGAGGCTTCTTAACATTGTTGATATACTGGTTGTTGTTTTTGTTTTGCCTAAAATATCAATTGATGTTATTATTATTTATTTATGTTTTCCTTAAATATCAATTGACATTGTTTAACTTACTAATTTACTTGACTATTGTAATATATTTAGGTATTAAGATTTTCTTGCGAATGGAGTTATTTAATTCTGTTATTTTCTTGATTTACCACTCGTGCTACTCAATTACAACCCCAATTGGAGCAAATATATCATCTCTGTCTAGTATTTCAATTTTTTGAATACCTGATATTAGCATCTAAAACAACGTGAAAGCAAACTATTAAATGTGGAGCAACCGTATCTGCTGCTTATTTATTTATTTATTTATTTATTTATTTATTTATTTATTTATTTCTTTTAAAAAGAGAATATGCAAATCAAATGCATTATTTATTGGGGGTGTAAGAAGTTTGCAGCATCAATGCATGCATAGGCATAAAATACCCTTCTTAGTGACCGTATTCCGTGAGAAGGGCCTTCTTGCCTAACTAATTAGATGCTCCGACTGCACGCTGAAGCAGGGAAGTTCACAGGATGAACTGGAATCCTTTATATATTTAATGTTCTGTTGTACTACCCAATGTGAAAATTATAAAGCTTAAGGTTTGCAGTTATTTTCGGTTAATTAGGGATGTTAGAGGATATGACTTTCCCAGTTTTCACTTGTAAATGGATTATGCTTGCACGTGCAATTTGATAGATGTGCTATGTTCCAGAATTGAACGCTATTGTGGTTTTCACTGGTCTTATTTGTAATTCCCAAACATCAATTAATATATTTGTTTTTGGGTTTCCAGCGTGCAGCAGATTACTTGACCCCACATCTTAGCAACACAGACAGTTTACTCCGCATGCATAGTTATTGGGCTCGTTTAGAGTTCAAATTGGGCAAGGATTTGAATGCAGCTCGTGGTGTCTGGGAAAGCTTGCTTAAAAATAGGTGACTTCTTCTCTTCTCCCCATCTTGTTGGTGCGTTGATATATTGGTTATTTAATGAGTAGATCTTTAGTTACTTTTCGTGATTATTAAGCATTGATGCATGGAACTTTAACTACTTTTCAGTGGGTCCATGCTGGAAGCTTGGCTAGCTTATATTGCTTGGGAGATCGAGATGGGCCAGATTAATGAAGCCAGATCTCTCTACAAGCGATGCTACAGTAAAAGATTCTCTGGGACTGGATCAGAGGTGTTTCTCAGCTATTACTATTTATTTTGGCTGTTTAAGAGAAGTCCTTCTCAAACCAATTCCAAAAGTTTTGACTGTTCAAAAATGATTTGTGCAACAGATCAGTTTGTTATGTTTTCTCTTTTTGTTAACGACGCACACTGCTGTTATGTTCCATCATAAAAGAAAATCTTAGATTACTCCACTTTCTATGACTTGGTTTATTGTTCTCACTTAGTCTTAGAGATGTTTAAAAATGCTTTATCCTGGTGGGAAATAAACATTGTCAAAGGAATTTTACGTCTATAGTAGAATGTTATCCAAATGATTCTCACCATGGCTTTTCTACCAAGAGCATTTCAGGATTCCTGGATAATCTTTATGGTGAAGAAATGAGATGGAAAATGACTTTGTTTTAAAATCCTAACTGACTTGAGATGGATATGGATTTGAGACTGTTTATTTTAATATTTCAAACCATGACTGTGTCATGTAACCATTAAGTTGTAGACTGAGAATATATGTTTTTTTCGGGAAAGTTGATTAGTTTGAAATTACCTGAATTGAACTTATGATGTTGAAGGGGGCTGACGATGATTTCTATTCTCGCATTCTATAATTTGGATGAACTTCTTTACTATAGTTAAATGCCTCACCCGATTTGTGTGACTTTTACCTTGACATGGTTTTGAAGTTATCTTGATGTGATTAAGGTAGATGTTGTACCTTGTATTGGATGATATCTTCCTTCCCTAAAAAACAGAATCATTCAGGACATCTGCCATTCGTGGGTGCGGTTTGAGAGAGAATACGGCTCATTGGAACACTTCGATATTGCATCTCAGAAGGTACTCCTGTTCTTTGTCTTAGATGGGTTCCTTATTTTTATTACACCGTGAGTCAGAAATTTTAGTTACAACTGCTGGGAGGACTTCGGATTGGGTGTATTTTTTGTCTATCCCGTGTCATGTGTTCATGATTTTGTAGGTGGCTCCTCGCATTCAAGAGCTGCAACAATTTAGGTTGCTGCAAGAGAGTAAAAATGTTGGCCTGGCTACGAATGAGAAGGGAAATATTTCAATGAAAAATCCCCATGAGAAGAGAAAACCAACTTCGAGCTCAGTAAATGAACAGCCTCCAGCCAAGCGTAAAAAAAATACGTTGCAAAACCCAAAGAAATCAAATGAGAGAAATAAAGAACAGGCAAGGCACTCAGCTGAAGAAAGTGAAGCTGTTGAAAAAGATGGGAAAAAAGCAGAGAGTAGCAGCCAGGGCATAAAGCATGAACCCTCTAAAAAACCTATTACATTCAATGATCAATGCACAGCCTTTATTTCTAATCTAAACCTCAAGGCATGTTGTTTCTATGACTTTCTTTTATAGTTGACATCAGATTATGAGCAATAAATATTTCCTTAATGTTTCTACATTTATCTTCTGCAGACCACTGAGGATGATCTTTATAATTTCTTCTCTGATGTTGGTGGAGTTGTTGATGTTCGAATAGTGAAGGACAAGTTCACCAAAAAATCAAGAGTAAGTACCAGAGATATGATGGGCATCTTTCGTTGTAAAGTGAGCTTGTGTCGAAGTGTGTAAAATTTGATGAATGAGATAACGTCACAATAAACAGATGTTGAGTTTTGATATTTTCCCTTTGTGATTTATGCATTCTTCTGTACTGGAAAGCTAAACCATTATTTTTATCCTATTTGACGGCACCAAATAACAAATTTTTTTTGGGGAGTGATTAAGAAGTCGAAGAAGATTCTTCAAGGCTAAGAAAACCGAATGAGTTTTTTGTTTTTATGTTCATTGGACCACTAAGCTGAGAACTTTGTTATTTTATGACTGGTGATACTATGTTTACTTTACAGCTTATACTACTGAGTGGCACTTCCTATTCTTGCAACATTTGCCACATGACATCTGGAGCCGTATTTTCTATTTTAGTAATAATGAAATTGTGACTGTTCCTTATACATCTGAGGCCCATTTGTTGAAGCACAGTATTGAGTTTTGATATTTTTCCATTTCTCCTGTAGCCTATAATGGATTCAGCTGGGTTATGACTGTCACATAGGGCCCTGTTAAATCACTAAATTTGAATGACCTCATTTAGTTTCTTATTTCTATGTTTCTTTATCATTTTTGTCTTTTTGGTTGTAATACCTTTATTTTTTTTTGACATTTGGGCTGTGACTAGTGCAAAATATTGATTTATTGCTCCTTGTGTATGTTACGACTTTGGTCTGTGTTAGAAATCCTCTCTATAACAGATTAAATAGAGAAAATCTCAAAGCACATCATGCATGGGGATTAACAAACAAGCAAAGAAATTCCTTGTCCCGCTTGATGAAAATGGAAAATAAACAAGTTAGCATTGATCTACACCTAGTTCTGCATTGGTGTATAGGAAGTTCAGAGAGAGCCTTGCAAATTATTGTACTTTGCGCTTCACGTGTGTTTTTGCATGTACAGATGATTTTAAGAAGTCCAGTATTGATATTTGTATGTAAATGTTTTTTTGTAGGGATTAGCATATGTAGATTTCTCGGACGATGCACACCTTAATGGGGCTTTGGAGAAGAACAAACAGACCCTGATGGGCAAGAGATTGAGCATTTTAAAGTCGGATCCCCAGCAAGGCAGAAAGAAAAAAGTTGCTGGACGTAACAATAGAGCAGAGCACGGTTAGTTTTTTGACATTAGCATGTTGGATCTATTGTTTTACAATGCTCCAATGCTTGCATCAGTGCCTATCGGCTATTGTTTTACAAGTAGATTTTTTTTTAGCTGGTTGACTTTATCTTGCCCTCAACCTGTTTTCCCTTGAAAGTTACTCTCTCCATCCCACCAAGATAGGCTTGTCTTCGTTTTTACACAATTTAAAAAAACATCATTGTTTCTGGTGGTGGAAAGGAAAAATTAAGCAGTACTGTGGTCTGGATACAAAATCTGGATTTGTAATTATGCCACACAATGTACTATACAAAATCTGAATCCAAATTATGCATGAACAAAGGGTAAGAGAACTACTCTGGAATAGATTCAGTTGTAGCTGCGAAGTAAAATTATCCTTCTGAATCCTGCGTTTCTGTAAGTGGTTATTATGATTCCTATAAGTGAAACTAAATCAAATAACACTAGACCACGGCCTCAGTGATTTCCGACTCGTGAGTTCTTGATAGTTGATATACTCTTATTATTAACTTCAGTCCGTGCGTCATTTTTCTGTAAACCAAAGCCTGAACCCGCTGATCACAGGTAATGCTGTTAAACAAATTGGTGTTTCTGGGAAAGAACCGTCCATTGCCAAGCGTGGTGAAGACATCCAGCTCAAGGGTAAGAACACATTTGCTGTGCCAAGAAACGTGAAACCTCTCGGCTGGAGCGCACGCACCAAACCTGTGCCTGATGGAACCGACTAGAGAGGTGATGAAAACCCAAAATCCAACGACTGTCTGAAAGATGTTTATCAAGAAGTGAGTGTAGAAAACATAAAAGCCAAATTGCTAAAAAGAAATCAAATAGCCTCGTTGAAAAATGTTTACCGAATGTGACAAATTTGAACTGGTCGTATCCATTTGTTCGGTTTGTCGTGAGCCTACTGAATTGTGCTACATGTTCGTTGGTAGAAAATCTGTTTTTAGATGTCTCGATTGTGCATGAGATCTTGAAACCGGCGAATTTTGTAAGTTGGAGACATGTAGTTGATTGGTTTGTATTATTATATCTTTGTTAATTTGTTGGTAGTTTGGCAGTGGAGAATGGAATAGGGCTGTCCTGTCTGCTTGAAAACACTCGTATTTGACTGGTAATTTATTTATTTTACTAGTACAATACTTATTACAAGGGTGTTTATTAAGAAAATTATTTTTAAAACTAAAAATAGTAATAAAAAAATTATTTTAAGTTTTGAATAGTTTTTTGAAACTATATTACTATTTATATTTAAAGTAACACATATCATTTATACCGCTTACTATTTTATATTATAAATATTATTTTTTAAAATTATAACATTTAAAAACTTTGTAGTTAAATTAATATGAATAATTTTATTTTTTAAGTAATATTTGTTGGTAATTTAATTTTTGTTATAAAGGTAGATATAATTATTTATCTATTTTGTAGGGTACAATATAATAGTCAAAATTGAAGTTTATTTCTCTTTTTCACACGCACACACACAAACGGATCCCAGTGCCAAGGTGAAAAAGGAGCCGGAGGAAGGAAGGGCGGCGGCTTAAGAAGAAGCTGGTGGCCCGGTCCGTCAAGGCCGGCCCCCAGTTCCCGGTTGGCAGGATTGGTCGGTACCTGAAGAAGGGATGCAACGTCCAGCGCGTGGGCACCGGCGCTCCAGTTTACATGGCCGCCGTGCTGGAGTACCTCGCGGCTGAGGTGCTAGAATTGGCGGAAAATGCGGTGAGGGACAACAAGAAAATCAAGATAATCTCGAGGCATTTTTTGCTTCTTGTGAGGAGCGATGAGGAGCACGGCAAGCTTCTGGCTGGAGTCACCATAATTCCGAGACATTTGTTGGATTATATGTTATGTGGGTGAAGGTGGGATTTGGAATCAAAATGTGGTTTTGAGATTGAATGAAAAGATTGGTTTTTGTGGGGGGAAAAAAAAATTGAAGTTCATTAAGACTTGATTAATTTAGTATATTATGTACAAATAATAAATAAAAGAATTATTACATTTTATATCTTCTTATAATTTAAGTTAGTGATTTTTTCGTAACATATATAAAGACGAGAAAAAAAGAGATTGAGGAAAAGGAATTATGTCCATTAAATTACGTTTAAAATAAAAATGCAATATTAATTCTTATAAAGAGGACCACAATTATCGAGTATATTTAGGACTATTCCAAACTTAATTATTTGTTCGATTACAGTAAATTAAAATCAATCAAAACCAAAAGACGAAGCATGAAAGTTTTCCACATAAGATTTCGAAGTATGCGAATTTAACATTTAGACTCAACACGTTCGAGAATTACATATAAGAGCATCTCCAATGTATATTGTCCATTTGGAGATGTATATTAATTTTTTTTTTTTTTATTTGATTGGATTTTTTGGGTTGGTTTGGTTAATTTTGGAAAATATGGTATGATTAATTGTTAGTTGGTATATTAAAGTAAAATTTAAAAATAAAATAATTAAAATTGATTTGATGTAAAAGTAGGAGAGCTATGATTTGAAGTGATGGTTAGTTAAAATTATGTGAGTGGATGAATAGTGAATTAAGGTTGATGTGATTTGTGAGAATTATCCCCCCTATATATTAATCCAGAACGCGCCGAGCCTACGTGGCTGCTTCTGGTGCTTCGGAATTCTATGTGGCAAAATTACATGCTTCGTTATTAGGCTTGGATAAATTTTAGTTTAATTTCCATCCAAAAATAATTAGGTTCGAATTACCATAAATATGTTAATTATTTATGGTCATGTTACATGTATTAATTGCATTTTAATATCATTCATTATTATAACTATTGAATCGTATATATATTTTAAAAGTTAATAACTTTTGTATTTTTTTTATCAGTTTTACATATGTAATATATCAAATTAATCTTCTTTTAATGAGCTTCGATTTAACATCCATATTGTATGTATAAAAAAAATAAATTATATTTATCTTCATAACAATAATAAAATTAATTAGAAAAATAAAATTATTTATCAACTAATATATTTATATTTCAAGTAGTTATATGATATAAGTTATAAAAACTAATATAATATAACACATGTAAGTCATAAGTAACACATATCATTCTAAAATATATAGTAATATATTTTTTTTTGTAAAAAAAGTAAACTAAATTTAATATAGTTTCTCATTAATTTTAAAATTTAAGAATAATTTTTTAACAAGCACCCGTGTAATACATGAGTGTTGTACTAGTTGGTTAATATTATTTAATTATATTGATAATATTAATGATAGTGGAGTTGAGTTAAAGTTGAGTTGGAAAAAGTGATTGAGTTAAAAATGTTTGGATTTCTTGGAGTAGATTTGTATCCAAGCATCCTCATAACATTGAGAAAAGAAATTACAAAATTTTGTCTCCAATGGTTAATGTAAATTCTAGTATAATTTGACATGTGTAAGATTATATAATTGGTTGGAGATGTGATATATATTTAATAAATAAAATAATATATAATAGAAGATTTTTTTTTTCC